TTCATCGTCGCCGTCGACTGCGGCCCCGACCACGGAAGAATCGACCACTTCATCGTCGCCGTCGACTGCGGCCCCGACCACGGAAGAATCGACCATTTCATCGTCGCCGTCGACTACGGCCCCGACCACGGAAGAATCGACCGATTCATCGTCGCCGTCGACTGCGGCCTCGACCACGGAAGAATCGACCAATTCATCGTCGCCGTCGTCTGCGACCCCGACCACCAAAAAACCGACCACGGCTGTAGATAATAGTGCTAATAAAATGTCATATAATATAATCACTCTAGGATGGTTTGTGTTATTTTGGACAATATCAGTTAATATCTTCAACTTTTAAGCTTGACATTTTTTGAAATTATCAGAATTTTTGTGTTTTCGTTATTTTGTTGTTTTTTTTTTTTTCTATGCTATTGTATAGCTAGAAAACAATTTAAAAACTTGTATGAAAATTTTTATAAAATTTATATCATATTATAATAATATTTTCATATTATATTGTAATAATATGTATAATCTTTATATGTTCTATTGATCAACATGTTTCTGAAAATCAAATTGTACGTACATGTATACTAATAAATTAAGTATTTGAAAGAACACAAGCACAATTTTTAAAAATGATTGATGTTAGAACTCAGAAATAGATACAGCAGTGTTTCACAACTTAACTCCATCATTCAAATTCTTATATTTTGCTTCAATCAATTTACTCGTTTTGCTATTTCACTATCCGTACACTTGAGCTAATTATGCATGCGCAGTACGAACATAACTTTAATTACACATGTCAAGCACGATTGTTTCTAAAGAGTGACAAAAACAGAAGGAAGTTAAATTGTACTTTATTGTAATGCAAAAGTAATGTACCAACGCTTTGCGCCTACCGTCGTTCTACTTTATTTCTTGATCCCGCGTGCGAACACCTATCTCTTTGTTAGGCTGTGAGCTGGCTAGCTCAGCTTGGTCAGGCGGTGGCTTAAGTATTCTTTTTCACAAGTAAGCAAAAATTTAAATATTAACTGTGAACATTTTAGTACAGTTATGAGTTCACTAACATCACAACAAAGGAATCGGTAAAAAATATACAATATATACTAAAAATAGATATAAGGATATATTTATATTTATTATATAAGCGCATATTGAATCAATGCTGTTAGGATTAGAATTGTGCACGCTTAAAATACAAATTTTTATTAACAATGAGCGTAAAAGTGAACGCAAAGTTTTTTTTTTTTTTTATTGTCGTTATCGGTCACATTTTCTGTTTTGCCATGATAACGTATCTGATTGTGAATCATTCTCAATATTGGACTTATTTTCAAGGTAAGAAAAATTATAAATATCACTTATCATTACTAATACAAGGAAACATGAATTTGTTGTTTTCTTCACAGACATACGTAACTTATGCTGATCCGCGTGTTTTTCCAAAAACAAATATGTGTGTGTTTAAGACCTTAATTAAATAAAAGTACCATGTTATTAGGTAAATAACAAAAAGGTTAATTTTGTTGTTTTCTCACTAGTTCAAGTAATTTCACAAGAATTTCTTAAAAAGTAAGATGTTTTTGTAAAAGCAATTAGACTTGTTTGTTTCTAATTTATGTTACTTGCTAGATTTATTTTTTTTATAAAATATAGTTTTACTTAAAATATACTTCTATTTAAATAAAATTTTATAAAAGAAAGAAATAAAAATTTTTTATATTTAATGTAATGTGCAAAAATTTATATATTTATATTTTTAAAATTATTTTTCATCTACAGAGTAAAAAACCTCAGCAAAATAATGAAAGCACAAAATCTCTAAAAATAATTTAGTTTTCACATTTTACTTTGTGCAAAAAATGTAGAACATGTTACGGTTTATGCTTATCGATTCGATAAGCCTATCAATTCGATAAGAGTGTGCGATAGATTATCATTTATCTAATATTTTTATATGAATCATTGCTATTGCTGGGAGGTAAGCCTCTTAACCCTATTTTGACACATTCGTTGATAGGACGTGTATCAGAAGTGAATACATTTATACCTCCATCAACAATGGAAAAACAAAGTTCTTTCTTTTTTACTATTGTTTATCGTAATAATATTTGCTATTTTTTAGGTATGTGACAAATTTATGATATCTTACAGTTACATTAGAACTCATCTTAGCCAATAAAAGTCTGAGTTCTTCGTGAACAGACATAGGTCTTCCAGATCCACTCAAAAATTGCGCATTGGCGTGTATGGTAAAGATGTTTTATGTTTTTAATGTTTATATCTTCGAAACTACTAGGAATTTTTTTAATTTGTTTTTTATCGATGCAAAAAATATTCAAACTTTCGATTCAAAAACATAAAACTGAAAAAAATATTGTTTCTTCGTGAAAATATTCAATTTTAAAGTCACGCGGATCTCACAGATCTAGTCTGTGCAACTGGTCGTCATTGTTGAGATCTTATTTCTTGAAGAGTTAGTAAGAGTTAAAACAATGTAAAAGATCAACTGTAATGCAAATATTTTTTTTATTATGCACTGTTTTATTAGAAATACACTGAAAAATTGCATTTAACGTATAGTAAGTATGTTTGTATAATATAAATATAATTGAATGATAATATAATTAAATTATGATAATTTTTAATGTATATATAAGCTATGTAGGTATGTATATAAACTACAGTGTGTATACATATGTCTATATAAAAATATATTTAATTAATATAATTAATATAATAATTTAATATATATATATATATATATATAAAATTGAGTTTTATATTTATTTATTAATTAAACTTTACACAAAACAGGTATGCAATATTTTATTATGTTATATCAAGTTTATTTTTCTACTTAAATTACGCGCGCGTTAGTCAATAAGATTTTATAAACTCAACTTATTGTTTAATTAATTTTTTTATGCAGGTAAGCTTTAAAATGTTATACATGTCATTCATTTATTAACAATCTTAACAATTGTTCATCACAAACGTATGCAACAAATTGTATGTATCATGAAAAAAACTGTTTCAAATGTCACATAAGTAAGTGAATGAAGCTTATACATATAAATGTGTGTTTATATACATTATGTGTGTATACATGTATTTATATATATATCTTTTAACAACAAAAATAAAAATTGTATTTTGTTACTAAGTATTAATTTGTATTTTGTTACTAAGTATTAATAGAAATGTATTTTTTTTGTAGAATTGTTTAATAGAACTGAACTTAGCGGTCGTTCCTGCGTCGGCATTCGCTAGCTTGGCCAATACGTCTTGGCCAATTATATTTTTGTCTAATTATTTGAAGTGTTTTTTCTATTGAATAATGCCCGCCTAATGCCTATGCCCGAATGAGCGTCTAATGCGATAATTTTCTTTTTATTTTTTATTTCTGAATTATGTTTAGAAACGTAAATGTACAGTTTATCTCCAAGGTAATATTCGTCAATAATTGATCGTAATTTGTTAATTCCTTCTTGATCGTGTATAATTATTAAATAATGATCATTTTCGGTGAGAAAATCAAGTAGGGGAGACCGGGGCTAGTTGTGACACGGGGTTAGTTGTCAAACTGCTATCTTGCTTACTAAATCTTGGAAAATATTCTTCTTTTTATTGTAAGTTACTACTAGTTGTGTTAGTAACGTGTACGAAAGAACTTTTCTTAAAAACATTATATATGATATTTACGAGCACTTTTGTAAAACTGGATATGGCAAGTAGATTTTTCTGATCTCGATTCTTTAGTAATTTCATTGGTTTTAAAATTTTTAATTGCAATTTTATCTTATATATAGGAAATATGGTAGTTTTAAATAAGTTTTCTTATATTTATTTAATCGTCATCGCATCGCAGTTTATAAATATAATATCTTTTATTTAAAATGAACGTTTGGGATAAGTTGACTCAAATTGAGACGGAATAAGTTGTCACACGGTGAGCATGCGCGAAGAAGTAATCGGAGTGATCGTTATGCGTCGTTATAACTTTTTCAGTACCTGTCATTGTTTTTTTTTTAATAAAGATTAGATTACTAATTATGTTTTATAGTTTTTAACTGATTTAGTATTGTAAAATCATTTAAACTTGTTTTATATATATATATATGATTATTAATATTGTATAAATACTTTATACTTAATGTATAATGTTATGTACTCTCAATAAATGTAATAAATTAAAAAACCGAAATTTTATATCTTGTTGTTTCTCTGTATAAAAGACATGTGACAATTAACCCTGGATATAGGGCAGGTTGACAAATCTGCGCGATTGTACTTAATATTAAAATACTCTTTTGTGTAAAGATATATAAGAATAATATTTATTTTTTCTTAAAGCTAAAGGATGTGACTATTATGTAATGTACCCGATATTACATAATATTGCGTACATTTTTTTTTTACAATCTATTTTGGATGTTAATTTGTGCCCCGGTCTCCCCTAACTGAATACTCATTTGTCTGTAAGTCACGTGAGGGGAAATATAAATTTCATTTTGTGATTTCAGATAGAATTTTATATAAAGTATAGTCTTGTTAGTAAGCATGCCGACTTGATTTTTGATTATTATTTGTATTAAACTCTCGGTTGAAGTTGTCTAGAAGAGCAAAGACTAAAAGATTTCGAGTTACGAGGAGATATTATTCTTGGTAGAAAATCTGGAATTCTAGTGATGGAAGTTATTGGTGTCCCGTCAATATACAATTATTTTTGTTTTCTAACAAGGGAAGTTTGGCAAGTGTAAAATTCAAAAAAATCTGAAACTTTGAATAAGTTTAGACTAGATGGACTTAATAACTAAGCAATTTTTTTTAGCTGCTGATATTTGGGTTTAGGGGTTGAAACATCCTCTTTAAAAAAATCGGTATTTATGTTTCTAAGCATATATCGCCGAAACAATAAGAAATATGGAAAGATGTTTCAAATAAAAATTTTATGGTTTTACAAGCTCTTTATAAATACGTAGATTTTTGAAAACTGATAATTTCTTCGAAATATTCTCATTACTCATTTTTTTTAATTTGAATTTCAAATTGTTCTTGATACTAAATTAGTTTATTTTACGCCAATTTTAACCATATATAATAAAGTTGTGTTCTGTAAATGCGTTTTTGAGAAATAAGCTGAAAACGTCTTTATAAGCATAGTGTATCGGTCCGCTGGTTGCCTACAACGGCTTCTCTTTCTCCCTTCTTCTGTAATTTTCCGCAATACGATGATACGATGAAAGGGATGTTTATTAATAAATTTAATCAAGTAAGTGAGTTTTGTATATTACATATATTTTATAAACACATATAATATAGTAATTATAGTATATATCGTCACTCCCTACGTATAATCCCGTAACTCCAAAACGCAAATTTTAGAGGAGAGCAGTTTAAAAGGTT